TGAACATTACTCTGACATTAAAACTGGAGCGAGTGATTGCTTTTCTGTTGTTTAATCTTTACTGCCCTTTAATGCAGATGTCTTTGTTTTAACAGGAATCACCAACTACAGGTGAACTTGCGCATGAAATGCAAGTGGGGTTGTTTCGGACTGCAACTGCATGGGATTCTACGATGGTGTCACCATTGGAGAGGTGGTTCATCGCGCTGTGGATTGAGAATGGATGAAGATGACGAGCTGAGCTGGATGTCCAAAGCCACAACACCAACAACACCAATCCATGTTCATCGTACTGCCGTCCGAGTTCATATGGGATGACTTGTATCCGAAAGAAAACAAATGATTTGGTGATGATGCTGCATTGGCAGTGGTGTACAAGCACAGTTAACACTCATCACATTCGGCAAAAAAAAAAAAAACACTGCCCTTAAAAGTAGAAAATACAATAGGTGACGTTTCTGGCAGTATCCTTCTTCAGAGCACATTTACAATGTTTCATAGCACATATTCCGTGCTAATATGTGCGTGCTATGAAGAAGGCTCATGGCATGTATGTATGTTGAACTTCTTTCGCACCGTACAGAGCCAACCGTGCTCATCGGATCATTGCCAGAAAAGGTCACCCATGCCATCTGTTTTCTATTAAGGCCACGATGTTATTGACGAACGTATTGAGTTGAGTAGGCGCAACAACGTAAGCGGGGAGGGAGGGAGGACAAAGAGGAGGAGGAGGAGGTTGGGTAACGACCATCCGTCCCAGTCCCCTGCTTAATATCGAGTCGGTACGCCAGCGAACTCGTCGAGTCGCACGTGTACGGGACGAGCCGAGGGGGCCGTGCGTGCCGTGCGCGTTACGTAAGCCCTGCCCGGCGTGCCTGTGGGCCCCCCCCCCTCCGCTTTATGTAACGCGAAGCACTGCGGGGCTACCGCGCGCGCTCCTGTTACACGGCGCCTGCGTCACCGTCGCCATGTCGAGGAGCGTGCGTGTGTCGTTGTCGTCGGAATGCGCGCAGCGCTCTCCGTTAAACGTTGTCGCTTTTTGAGTCGAACATTCAATTGTGCGCGAGTGCGCGTGGTGCGTTTTGAAACACCGTGTCGATGGAGTGTGGGAAAACTTTTTCGATTTAAAGCTTTCGTGACTGCAGGGATTCATCTTCTTGGTTCTTTCGGTAAAGTCACGTAGAAGGAAAATAATAAAAAAAATAAAACATAATAAATTATTCTCACGACGTTTCGGCCACAACGCCTGAAGACGGCTGCTTGCGTTGTGGCCGAAACGTCGTGAGAATGATTTTATCATGTTTTATTTTTATTATTTTATTATTTTCCTTCTACGTGACTTTACCGAAAGAACCAAGAAGATGTGGAAAAACTGTTTGCAAGAACTTATCTCGACATCGAAGGCGAATTTTATTGTTCGTGTAGCCCATCTCTTTTCATATTTTTAAAACTCTTTTTATATAGCGGATATCTTTAAATAATAATAGCATCGCTCCCGAGTGACGGCGCTGATTCCCACGCTGACACTGAATGAAAAGAGTGCAGTGCGAGTCGCAGCTGCTGCTGCTGCTTTGATTGATAGCAGCGATATGACCCCAACCGGCACATGATCAAGGCCAATTAATGGCCATCTAATTTAGCCTCATAAATCTTGCTGCTGTCGAGTCATTAACGAAGGCCACAGGCGGACGCTGTTAATGTCGTCGTGGGACAAGTTCACAGGCGTGGCTATTTCAATTGGGATTTATTAAATTTGACCTCGGACAAGAGATCCGTGCAATTACTGTTCTCTGCGCCCTGCCCAAAATCCTGTGCAATACAATGGTTTTAAATAATAATACTCAATAACACAATATATGCAAAAGCGTGTCGGTGCAGAACAGTATATATGTTACACGCTGTCCAGTACTGTTTGGCTAGTGGTATATGCCTTTCACTTGGTGCTTCATCATCATCATCAGCCATGGACAATCCACTGCTGGATGAATGTGTTTCGAAGCTGCTGCCATCTCTCGTGATCCTGCACTTGCACGAATTTCGCCGTTCATCTTCTTGGTGGACCTTTTCTCAAAATGCGTTCCATTCCCTGACTGCCATTCCGTTATTATCCTTGCCCATCGGCATCAAACCCTTCTCGCCATGCGTCCTGGCCAAAGCCCCACTTGCTTTTCCCAGAAGTTTTCATTATGTAAATAAAACTGCGTAACGTTCGCTAGTCCGTGTGCTCCTGATTCTGTCTATATACTGTAAATGTAATTCCACGCATGCATCACACAAACATGCCAACAGAAGAACATTGAATCCGCGTCCACGACCGGTGATGCACATGGTTCAGATACATGGTCATGCACCCAATACAATAACAAATTCCTGCGGAGGGAGCTGGTAGGAACGTTGGGTTGCTCGTTCGTGAGGGCGGGCACAAGACGGCGTGAGTAGGTTATACGTTGAGTTTTATAAGGGCACCACGGGGTGACCAGCCCCTCCCCACCCAGCCCCACCCCTCCCACTCCCCACCCAGCCCCACCCTCCCTACCCAGCCCCTCCCCACCCTCCCCACCCAGCCCCTCTCAACCCTCCCCTCTCCACCCAGCCACACCCCTCCTATTTTTGGATTCTCGACGGCCGGACGGACACAATAATCCCCTGTGGGCTGGTGTAACCAGGAGGTTCCTACCAGTATTATGGTTGCTTATGCACTATCAGACACTCCCTGCATTAACCTCGCTGTTCTGTGTTATTACGTGGGGTGATCGTGTAGCGGATAGCGCGCCGCGCTACGAACAACGGTAGTCCGAGTTCGATTACATATCACGACCATCACCAGTGATAACGATTATCTGAACCGGTCATGGGCCTCCCCTAGGTCGACTCAGCCTAAAACAATAGCATCTGGCGCGGTATGTAAAAACACGCCACTGGAGAGACAAAGGCGGTCGGGCGTGGTGGTGGTGACCCCAAAAAGTCGTCTCCTAAGGCTATAATTGTCTCGGCTCTCGAACGGCTTCGGGATCTCCTGCGACGAGTGTAGCGATGACGTAAGTAGAGGCCAGCCGCCTTCAAATGACGGGCCACCCACTCCCTTCCCTCCCTCTTCCTCTGCCTGCCTCCTACTCTCACACCCCCCTGCCTGCCTCCTCACCCCCACCTCGCCCCAACCCAACCCCGCTCCCCATGTAACAACGCGCGCGCGCACAGGCATCTCTCTCTCTCTCTCCGTCCCCTTCCCAAACACGGCCCCACTCCGCTCTACCTCCCAACATCGCATCTCACGGCTTGGCCCAGCTCAAAGATAAACATGCCCCCCCCCCCCCCCCGTGTAGACTTTAACAGGGGGTGTAGCAGTGCTGTTAGCGAGGAGCAACTCGGCGTGGGTGGCCAGCACCACGCCCGGACGCCTTTGTCTCTCACCGTACCGGGGTACTCATTTAAGGCTGAGTCGACCTAAGGGGGAGGCACAGTACCCGTTCAGATAATCATCAGCACACACACAGATACGCGTGGACACCCAGGCAGTAACAACCGTCGTTCGCCACCAAGTGGCGGTGACGTTACCACGGCGCTTGCACCAGGCTAGGTCCACCTCTAATTCCGCGTGAGGCATCGGAGGCTCGCTGGCAGGAGGCCACGGGACAGACCCAAGTGCCATGGGTTGACTGAGATGACTGACAGATACACCACACGCACACCAGACTGTTCAAGGTACTGTATGTACACGTGCTTGAGAAGAGTTTCGGACTTTGCTTTGGATTCATATTAAATATCTTTTTCAGTTTGAGCTCAGCGGTAGTTTTTTAGATGAGTCTATGTACGTGTGGGTGTATTCGCGGGACGGCTGAAATGCAGCATAGGTGGTGCATCTGTAAGTCTTCCCAGTCAGCTCTGTGGCGTGACCTGTCAGCGAGCCTTCCGCACTTCACGTGGCCTCAAGGTGCACATAGCTTGGCACAAGCACCGTGGTCATGTCACCGCCACTTGAGAGCGAACGACGGCTGTTGTACTCTATATATGCGTGTGTGTGTGTTCTCATGTTGTAATGTATCTGCAGTGTGCGTTAAGGAAAAAAAACTCTCCAAACTTCACAAACATGCCCGCAGGAATTCATTCATACACAGGAGGGGTGGAGGGTCATAACTTTTTAACAATCGGGATGTTTTAATGTCAAGGTAGCCGAGCTTCAGCCGTGCCTTTTAAACCCCTCTCCTGAAAATTGTGTGCGATTATTATTAGAATCTCTCACGTACACAATCAGAAGCCGAAATGTATTCCAATGCAAACAAGACTGGCACTTCATCACGACAACTTTTTAACATCTAATGATCGTAATGTTTCGATTTGTTTTCTTGTACGGTATGTGTAACGCACTTGCGTCTACACACATAGGTATACAGTGGATGGTCACGCAATAACACGGACGCATGCTATGCTCTTCTTGCAAAGAATTCATATGGCCCATTTAACCCTGTAAAGTGTAAACTGTTGGGGACAGAGGCTGCCACCAAACACATACAAGCGGTGGTAGAACCAGCACCACGCCTGTGACGATCTACAGATACTGCACTTATTTAAGACTCAGTAAACCTAGGGGATGCCCAGCACAAGGTTCGCACAGCACGTGCCACTGATGTGTATGGACGAGGACTCGAACCCACGTTGCTTTGGATCGCAGTGCAGCGTGCTAACAACCACCGTTGGTGCATCACTGTTTCCCACATCAAAGACAAAGATCTCCCGTATAAACTTCAACAGACTGTTGGAGCAAGTGCTGTTAGCGAGATCACGCAACACACACACACAGAGACACGCACGCATGCACACGCGCGCACACACGCACGCACGCGCATCCACACACAAGAACTGCCAATGGTTCCTTCTCTCAACAGCCCACCCACCCAATCTGTAAACCCACCCACCCCTCCTACCAACCACACACACACACTCTCATACCCCACCCTTTACACCACCCAACCCCCACAGGCAAGCGGTTAGGGCGAGCTTGTCATAGAAATGTAGATCGCTGCCAGAGAGGAGCGGGAGAGCGAGGTAGCGAGTCGAGAGAGGAAGAGCGGCTTGGAGCGCAGACGCGAGTTTCAGAGCAGCGGAGTTTGAAAGTCGCTACTTGCACGCGCTGCAACTTCGCGCAGTCCCCTGCACAACGCGCCACGGATGAATGAATCAAGCGACACCGCAGCCGCGCTGACGTCCACTCAAGTCACTGCTCACGTTGATTGGATGTATAAATATGCGTGCATACGCGAGTCTCTGAATACGTGCGCCTGCTGTACGGTGTCCGTCTCGAGGACGTGCCTGCTTCGCTGCTGAGAGTCGAGGGAGACCACCTCCTCCCCACACCGCTCTCTCTCTCGCCTTAATTTTAGGAAGCGGGAGAGAGAGAGAGACCCCCTCTGCTTTTGCACCCGGGCTACGAGCAGTACTGGCTGGCTGGCTTGCTGGGCTTGGATGTGGTTAGCCATGCCTTCTGCCTTCAGCAGTATTGGAATACTGTCGCACTTGTGGCTGCTGCTGCTGCCTCCTACTCTGCCGGGTCAAATGCACCGCGTTGCAGCCTCTGCCGAACGTGAGTACCCCTCCTCGTACTCCTCCTGTCGACACCCGGGCACGCTACACAACCCCCCCGCCCCCCTACCACCACCCGCGGGCATTCCCCTCGCTCCGTTCGCCTATCGTGCTCGAATCGTGGCCGCTCGCGAATGACCGGCAAGCTGACCGGCCGGCGGCTGACCGGTCGGCTCGTTTGACCGGGCGGATGCTGCGTGCGTGATGTTCGGCGTACGATCGCTCGCGCCAGCGCTTCTCATTGGCGAATGCAAGCGATGTGGGGTTACCCCATGCCCTTGCCGCTTGCCGCCGCCGCTGCTGCTGCTGCTGCTATTTGCCACCCAGGATTGCTGCTCGCTTATGGCAGAGTTGCGAGTGCCACTGGGATCACCCATCGTAACAATGTGCTCCGGGCACAAGCCTCGCGTTTGACTGCGCCTTCTGTGTCGAGTGTATTCAGATTGTTGTACTGCGTTGCCTGCTAACGGGATAAATCACCGGCTGGAACTCGTGGACTATTTTATTCTGCCAACGAATGGATAAATAATCCCATTGAGTAACAAGTAGACTGTGTACTGTCATCACATGACTGTCTACTCACTCGTACAGCTGATAGAAGAGTATGTGCAAAGACTGAATTGCAGCTAAATAGAAGAGTCTGTGCAAAGACTGAATTGCCTTTGCAGATACCCATTGGCCGTGCTGCTATTGGCACGTTTGCAAGCATTTGTGGTCGGATGAAAGTTCATTTGAAGTAGGCTATAGATTTATATGGAAAAAACTCGACCCTTTTTACAATCTGCCACTGGATGCAGAGCCGGTTAATCACGCTTCACCACGCTGGTTAGTGCGGATTGGTGAGGGGGGGGGGTGCTGGTCGGGTTAAAATGCCACTCACCGGCGGTTTTAGCGATGCCCCGGAGTCAAACTCAGATGGCCAACTTCACACCTCTGTGTGCTAACCACTTGCGCCACCGCACTACCCCCTAGAGTTTTAGCAATCAGATAATGACATTAAATGTCGTCCCTCTTGGGAGCCGTATCGCAAGGGTTTCATTTTTGGGGACCTTTGCAGGTACAGTAAGTGGAGATGAAAGCTCCCAAATCACGGTCGTGGGTTTTTTTGTTCGAAGTAAACAAGCATCGCAAGCTGTCACGGCCCTTTAAACGCGTGGGTTTCGTGTCCTAGACCAGGGGCTATAGCCATACATTGTATTCCACCTCGGGGGATCAATGTAAAAGTTACGTTCATGGGGGGGGGGGGGGGGGGGGGGGGGGGGGGGATCACGCACACAAAGGTGTACAGGGATACGCACTTCCATTGTTTAAATCCTTGCTCAGCAATGTATTGCTCAGCTCTGAGCTCACGGAGAGGAAGTGACGGTACCTGAGAGAGAGAGAGAGAACAAAAGAAGCAGGAGAGAGACTTGAAAGTTGCCCTGTATTCTCGCTGCTACACTCGGCTTACACTATTGTCAAGTTAAAGTTTATCCAAGCCCGTCGTGGGAAATTCCATATTACCATGGCAGGGGCCATTCTCTCCGTAGCACCACGAGAGATTGATGGAGATATTTTATATTTGTTCCTGATTTGAATCGTAGGGTCATTGTTACTACAGGGTAATCGTTACCAAAGGGTCATTGTTACAATTGATTTGAATCACAGGGTCAATGTTACCATTGATTTGAATTATAGGGTCATTGTTACCATTGATTTGAATCATAGGGTCAATGCTACTATTGATTTGAATCATAGGGTCAATGTTACCATAGGGTTATTGTTTCCATTGATTTGAAACATAGGGTCATTGTTATCATTGATTCGAATCATAGGCTCATTGTTACCATAGGGTTATTGTTACCATTGCTGGGTTCACTTTTTATAAATTATCTGTAACGGATGCACGAATGTTTTATGTAGTTGCCCCAACACCCACAGGGAAAATAATATCAGCGCATTATTTACATGTTCTTCTGGTTGTTTATACTCTTGAAGTGACGTTTACAGTGAGGACACTGAGATTAACACTGCCAGGATCTGGACTGATGTCCCAGCATCTTTATTGCAAACAAGACGCAGCCCTGTAATCGTTTGCTCATTCCACTGCAGCACAGAAAGTCCTCTTTCAGAAGGAGCTCTAGGAAGGTCCTCTCAAGGGTAACTCTGGCCTTGCAGAAGGTGTGAGTACCCACACTTTACCCCACCACACGCGGCCTGCCTTTTCTACTAACTGTGGTGTGCTCATTTGTGCTTCTGGGTGGCCAAACTCCGGGGGGAGGTGGGAGGTTAGAAAAATGTTACATTTTTTGCACGATCCGGGAGATGTAATCCAACCGATGACCTCTGGATTGCAAGTCCAGCGTTCTCACCGTTACACCGCAGCAGCATTCCCTGTTAACATGAAGGTCAACATTATATATATAATACACCTGGTGGGCTGAAATTAGTATTATTATTTGTTAGCAAAAAATTACGTGTGTGTGTGTGTTTCTTCTTTTGGTAAACTAAGCCATGGGCCACCCTGTAGGACAACAGCACTTGCAGTCCAGCCTTAACACAGCAGCAGCAGCAGCACGCTGTGTCTTGTGTTGAACAACAGGCACCACTTCCTGAAGCCAACCTGCTTATTTTCTAAACGACCCTGGCCCCACACACTCACACACTTTGACGTCTGACAAGATCAGGCCCTTTTCAAGTGGTATGGCTCGGGGCCATGCTGCACATGGAGTTTGAAGGTTTTTTCTCTCTCTCTCTCTCTTCCCAGAGTTGTTTCTGAATGCCGTGTTTATTTTACCAATGATTCGGTGAGTTAACTGGGAAATATACATTAACAAGGTCTCTTACGTGGCGTGACTCAGCGTCGTCCGTGCGTATGAGCCCACGCTGTGCCTGATGATTAATAATGTTCAGGTAAAGTGTTGGTAATCCCACCGCTTCCAAGACGCGTGGCGAGCGTGGAAGAGTAGGCCAACGTACTATCTTCAGGGGGGTGAGGGGGTGGGGCTTACTGGTGCTCCCTCTATTGGATCCCCTTCTGCCAGCAGTGGCATTAGCAAGTTGTTTCAGAGCTGCACCTTTATCTTTAACCCTTGGCAATCAGGTGGTGGATAAAAGCCTGCCCTGTCCTGTCAGTCACAGAGGTCGTTTGACCATACTTCACCACGCTGGTCAGTGCGGGTTGGTGAAGGTGTTTAGGGTCCAGGACCGAGTCAGATATCGCTCGCCACTGATGTGAGCCGTGGCCGTGAATGTCGTGTGCGGTAATGTTTATTTCACGTGAGAGCATTTCTAAGGAATGCGATTTAACCTGTGCGCATTCATATTCAAATGAAGGCCATAGTATAACCTGGGTACTACGCCCGATCATATCTATGGCGCTTGTGCGTAGCGGTGCGTGCCTGTAATCCAGCGCTTGGGATGCAAGGGTGTGTGGATGGCAAAGGTATGCAAGGCTCCCACAGCCTCTGTGCGCGAGGTGCTCAGGGTATGGCAGTACAGAAAGTGGGTTCGTGACCCCCATCTGTCACGACCTTTGAGTGTTCATCCCGTCGTGTCTGTGTGTGGGTTTTCTCCAGTTACTGTGGCTTCCTCCTACAGACACTCATAAAAAACACATCACTTGGCCAAACATTCCCGATGCAGAACCCTCTTGAAAAGCAGTCTTGAGAATCTGGATAAGCACGCTACATTATCTCAAAATGGGCATTTAGGTGTTCTGCTGCTGAAAGAGATACGTATTGTATAGCGGTAGACTCTCAGCTGCTTCATAGCACGGTACATGGCATCGCGGACTTGGGTCAGTGTGATTTTGAGCTGTTAATGTACACGGTGACGGTGAAGAGGTGGGAGCACCCACACTCTACCCGACCGCGCGTAACCTGCCTATCCAATAACGGCGGCATGTCCATTCATACTGCCGGCTACCCGGACTCGACAATATTTTGAATACTTGACCATTGGTTTAAACCTGCCAAGCCGGGAGATCAAAAGAAACCAGTGACCTCTGGATTGTAAATCTCGCGTCCTCACAATTACACCAGTGCAGCATTATTTTGAGTTGTTGGTATTAAACAGCATTAAATCCATGCTTTCTGGGAAATGGGTAAAATTAACAAATGCTGGTTGATGATTGAAGGGTCAACCTGCCTAACCATTGCAGGGAACCTTTGAAAGCGAAACCGATTAGCACGGTTGGCTACGTACGATGCGAAATAAGTTCAACATACATGCATTTATTTAACGTTGCTGACGCTGATGAAAATTGGTCAAAGTTAACTTGTGAATGAACGTCTGTCCGACTGCCCTCACGCATAGCCACGTGTGCTTTCATGGGGGGAGCGCAGCTTCAAAGATAAAAGTCTCACAGAGGAATTGACAAATGCGTTTGCCTTGTCTTGTTTTCGTCAGGCCCTCATAATAATAGCGGCGTCCCAATTTCTGTGGAGCCACTGAAACCGGGCGAGGGTTTCCATTGCCCGTTGGCAGACACTGAGTGCTGCTGAAAATGATTTGGATTGGGGTCAAATGTCTGCAAGTTTAATGAGGCGTCCAGTGGGTTTTTTCTTGGTATTCCCTGTTTGCGTGCATTAGTGGTATCATAGATACCGTTTTTTTTAGGTCATATTAAACAAAAATCAAGATCATGTTATTACAGTAACCGCGGTCTTCGTCTGTAAGCATTGCGGTGCAAAAGCACGCATTTTGGGAAATTGTACACACTATTTGTCATTCGTAAGTAACTTTCACATATCTTGCGCAGACTTTCGCAAGCGAATATTGTTATTTGCGGTGTACCCAGTGGGAAGAAAAATCCCCTAAATAATTTAGTCAGATAACGACCATTTGACGTTACTTTTAGAATTTATTTTCAATAATTTCGAGGCTCTTCTTCTTCATCATGAAGTTCACTTCACATCTCATCCCTCTACGCCCACCACGGGGCGATAAAAAGAGTGCTAGGTAAAAAGAGAGCCGCTTTCTAAAGAGTTCCCAGTGGACACGCTGAGGAGAGACTGCCTGCTACCATCGGAACGAGCAATTGTCATCATTGACTTTGGGACACTGACGACTATGAGCACCTGCCAATTGATCGTTGGAGCAGGGGAACCGACGATGGTTATGGGAAGCGTGTCGATTAATATGCAAACGTGCATTTCTACAGGGGTAGAGCAGTGGCGTAGCGGCTAGGTGGTGAACGGCACCGCACTACGAACTTGGTGACATGCATTCAATTCCCGGTCATGGCTATCTAACATTCGTGGCGAGCGACATCTAAACTAATCTTGGGCCACGACCCGTTTCACCATCAGCAAAGAGCCACTCTGGCCAACGCAGCCAAAGGGGTGTGGAATTCCCACCAGTGGTTCAGGGCAGCCAACTTGACTCGAACTCTTCCCAGCACAATCATCTCACGCGCAGGTGCCGGGCAGGTGACGGAGACGTCGACGGCCGGGGGGCAGGCTTTCATCCAGCAGTGGATTGATGACCTGCCTGATGGCAGTGACGGTGACTGTCGTAAAATAACGATCTCTTGCACCCCCCTCCCCGTCCCCTTTGCCAGGCATTGTCCATCGCGACCTTCCCGGATCCCACTACGAGGTCACCTTCCCCGTGCGCGTGAACGACCTGGGTGAGGCCATCACTCCGGCCGCCACGGATGCGGACGGGGCCTCCGGCGGCCGTCGCCGCCGCAGCCCCGAGCCTCCCGCGCCGCGCGCGCACTACCGCCTCGCCGCCTTCGGCAAGGACTTTCGCCTGGACCTGACGGCCGACTCGTCGTTCCTGGCGCCGGGATACACGGTGTTACGGCTGGGCGGCGGTGGAGACGGCGGTGGCGGCGGTGGCGGCGGTGCCAGCGGTGCGGAGCGGAAGGGCCTGCGCCACTGTTTCTACACGGGGCACGTGAACGGCGTGCGCGAACACACGGCCGTGCTCAGCCTGTGCTCTGGCCTGGTGAGTCGTGCAACTTGCTCCGAGCCGATTTGGCCACAGAGATGACCGCGAACACCTAAACTCCGCTGTGCAGCCGAGCCGTGCCAGGGCCATTATTACAATTACATAGAAACTTGACAGCACGACGTTTTGGCTTATTGTAGGTACACATTTTTTCGTGTGATTCTACATTTGCAGTAGGGCACAAGTAAAAAGGACCATAAAAAACGTAGTTCATAAAAATATACGTAATGTTTTTTTTTTATTTTGAAGGCAGTGTGAATGAGAAATGTGTTGAGTTTTTTTTTACTTATAGATGGCGTGGAGCCAGTTCTTGGGAAACTTAGTCGGAACTTAATCGTGTCATTTTTATTAATGTTCAAGATTTCAGATACTACTGCCACCTGTAGTAATTCTGCTGTGTATCATCATTAGCGAGTGCCTTTTCCTGTCGAATGGATGTTAGAATACCCTATGACATCATCGACAAGATTATTCCAATGCTTTCCACAGTCATGGCTAAAATCAGAAAATTGAAATTTGCCAACAGTTAAATTAAGATAAGGCCATGCGATGACAGATTTGCTGACAGATAAGTGCGTGTGTGCATTTGGATCATTTGTTTTAAAATAGGTGGTCATGTGCAAGCACACTGTTAGAAAGTGCACCTCTGAAATAGTAATAATAACCTTTGTTAGGTCACAGGCTTCTCCTGGCCAAAACATCACCCATAAAAATGCAATAAATTATGATAAGTGTGGAGCAAAGAGTGCAGAGGAATGGTTCAAAATGTTACGATGACCACCATCATCAGCCATTATCAATCCACTGCTGGATGAAGACATCTGCAAGCTAAATTTTGATTTAAAGCTTTCGTGACTGCAGGGATTCATCTTCTTGGTTCTTTCGGTAAAGTCACGTAGAAGGGAAGTAATAAAATAAAAATAAAACATAATAAAATTATTCTCACTAGTGAGAATATTTTTATTTTTATTTTATTACTTCCCTTCTACGTGACTTTACCGAAAGAACCAAGAAAACATCTGCAAGCTGTCAACATCTCTCACGGTCCTACGGTGTAACAATCCATCGAGAACTTGGTCATGAGGTCATTTTGTTGCTATAGCTTCGTGGCGTTCCCTCCTTTTGCCACCATTCTGACGCTAGGCCTGGTGCAGGTCAGTTCGTCTCGTTGGTTGGTTTTGTCTTCTTGGTTAGTTCTTAATTTTATGTTTTAGACATTTTCCACAAATAATGTTTTTTTTTTTCTACCAATTTGCCTAAATTTAGTCGTACGTGCTTTTTATGTATCATATAAATTCTAGATACAATAGTTGAATGAATGGTAGTCAGTCTAACGCCGTGACTTTTATATTGTCTGCCCAGCTGCCCATCTGATTTCCGATTTATTGCAGCACAGTATTTCCACCACACGATCTGCTCTGTGTTGCATCGCGCATAAATGTCCACGAGATAAGCCACTCCATTGGGCTATGATTTGTGGCCAGGTTGCTATTGAAAACGAGCTATATCACTCAGCGTGTCTTACCTGGTAAAAAAAAAAAAGTTTTTAGTTTGAGTTGAATCCCCGCCGTTCTTGTGCCAAGGAGGAGCGACACCCGTTGTCCCTCGACGCCGCCGATTAAAATGATTTCTTTCCGATCGAATTCTCACCGAATCCAGTGTCTCTTGAGATGACAAATCCCGTGTCCCTTTCACGCGAGTGGGTCAGTGCCATTGAACCACACAGTGCAGAGACTGGCACGTGGGGAATTCACCCGTCATTCCTGTCTGTGTTGGGGCTGAACCTACGACCTTGCATGGCTTCGTGCGCAGGCCACCAATAAAAAGGCTTTAGCCAACTAAGCCACCCTGCCATGGTTCACCCACTGTAGTTCAATGTCTGCTGTATACAGTTGTATAGAATTTCCACAGCTGTCTCCCATTAAGTTTTTTTTCTTTCAAAATGTTCCTCTGCAATTAAACAGATGTTCCAATCGTATCGGGCGTATTATTTTGGTTTGAGTATATGCATTTGTAACCCCCCCCCCCGACTTACTCCTACAATTAACTTTTAAATCTTTTTTTTTATCGAGGTATGTTAAAGATGACAATGTTTAATCATTAAATGGAATTGTATTGCCAGTTCCACCCCGACAAAAAAGTGGCAGATTTTCTAGTCACCCAGGAGCCAGTGCTGTGATCGCACAGGTGTGGGCTATCCCATGCTATTGCAAAGGGGGGGGGAGGGGGGTGAGAGGAGTGGGTGAGTAAGGGATGCGTGAAGTTTGACTTTTACTGAGTGCAGGCAGGCAGCAATGGAGGGAAGCCATGCATGTCAACCATCTGAGTGTCATCCCAAGGAGACATCTGGAGAACTTTCCCGACAGTACGATAGTGGGGAAACATTTGCACGCAAGCGCTGCACTTTGACAAGACAGTCTATACGCAGGAGCTTTAAATAGCCCATGGCTCCTACACCAGCGGTGGAATTCAAATGGCAATGCGGTGTAATTGGATCTGAATATATAGCGCTGCGGTGCATGGCCTTATCGCACGTTTCCATTGTGGCCCAAAGCGTCGTCTACTTTGGGCGACTATTTTGGTGTCACATTAGCGAGAGAGGCCCCGAATCTTTAGGGGACCCTGTGCCCCTCATTAAGGCTGCATGTTTCACGCCACGAATGTGCAACGAACGCAAGGCCATCGAAACGGTAAATTACGTTCAGAATACCTGGCATGGGCATCTCGAGCACATCGCATTACATAACGTCGCGGAGCCCGTAAACTCCACTCTGATGGCTCGCATTCCACGCTTGATTTATGCAGTGACCGCACGTGCCTGGCATAAGACGCACAGCGCCAGTGTATATACATAGGTGCCAGACACGCGATAGCCAGGGCCTTTATTTTCATCGTTGGTCAGGAGGAGGATGGCACAATAGATCAACGCGCAGGCCAAATGAATGATCCAACACCCCGCACCCCCCGGATGAAAAATCGTACATTCCGCAGGTGATCTTGAAACGAGGATCACCTGTTGGCATGCATGGTTAATATAAGGGGTGGAGCATTCCATTTGGTAGATTTCTTTATTTTGCGATGGAGGAGGGTGGAATGGGCGTAAGTGGGTTGCTGGGTCATTTTGTGTTGCAGCCACCCAAGACTCCCCAAAGACCCGCTGTTGTATATTTGGTGCTGCTTAATTATAGCGCTCCGAGATCGTAGACAAGCTTTGCGTTGCTGTGCGCCACTCCGTGCACACTGCATTGTACCCTCCTCATACAGTGCACTCAAAAGTCCTGCGCTGAACTCGTCACTTGAAAGTCCACCGCGTTGCTCTGTGGGCAGGGTTAGCACACGAAGTCCATCGGAGGTATGATTTCACAAGCCGCCATGGCATTAGCCACTGGCTGACCTTAAAATTGTGAAATATTTTTTAACTGAAGTCAAATTCAAAGTGTCTTCCCCTGCTACAAATAAACATTGGATGGTGCCCATGTCCATTTGCAGTCTTTAGTCATTGGTGGAATTTACGGGACAGAAGCAAACGACTCAACAGATCCGTCACGATAGGAAGAGACTGTTGATTGGACAATCCCTGCCCACTTTTTTACGGTACTTTGCTCACCCCTGAGGGATGATGGAATGAGTTGACCCTGGCCGGAAGTGAAAGTCATGTTTTCTAGGGTTCGAAGGCCTGCTAATTTACCAAGTGAGCTCGAGACTAGCAATTTTTAAATGTAAACGAAAGGTTTATACAACTGCAGGAGCTACAATGAGGTTTCAGTCTTTAATGCTTTTGTGTGAATATGATTTTATTGCTTTTCCGATGGAAGCTCTCTAAGTAAGTTCTGTATTGTAGCCACTTGCGAATCCTGCAGCACATTTCCAGAGTTTGTGCACTCATTAAAGACTCACAAGGCTGAGCAGTGACATTTAAAATACAACTCAACAAACGGCTGAATTTCAATATCATTCTAAATCTAATGCCTTCCTAGGAGATGAAATCCGAAGAAGAGTAAATGATCCTTATGGCAGTACTCCGGGGTACCAAATAATACTAAATAGCCGAGGCAATTAAATATTTTATTTCTGGGACACTATCTTTTCCCAGGGGTGTACTTAACTCCGCGACTGGGGTACCAATCAATCCGAAATCAGTGCCACACTCCGCGATGTTGAAACGCAGCGAGGACGATTGCGCCGAAACCCTGAATGCTCGTACACACCGTAGTGGTGCATCTTGTACAGCTCGTCGAGATGAGTCGATTGCCGCATCGCCGACCATCAACAGACTAAAAATTAATGCATCACGGACATTATGCAAGACCCGGGGTAATATGGTACCCCGGGTACCGCCATGAGGTTGAAATAACTTAAGCAAGAGAAAGAAACCTTGCGTGTGTTTTTTTTTATGGGAAGAAAAAAAAAACAAGAATGGGGCTTGCATCCACAGTCACGTGCGTACATGTGCAGAGGCATTCAAGAACAATTTCTGTATGTACAGAGCAGTCTTTTTGAAGGCGCCAAGTTTCACAATTTCTTGAACAAGATAAGAAATAGAAGTGCGCACTCATTATTGCGCAGAATTGTGCGTGGCAAGTGGAGGTCACAACATTTTCCCTCCTCCCGAGTCGTCGCTAGCTTGCCAGGACCAGAAGAACAAAAAAATTAACCCGTAAAAACAAAGTTTTCACTATAAATCCTTTATATGTGTGGCGGCTAGAGTCCTCTCGTCCTCTGGTTTGAGATGGCTGCCACCTATGGGTCAGATGATTGCATGGCAGCATTAAGCAATTGGTAATTAAATATAATATTTTTGTCCTAAAAAGTGTAACATTTTGGAAAATAAATTTCACGAACATTCATTGTCACGCGCAACGAGTCTGTGTGGAAAATGTCAGCTCGATTGGATCACGGGAAGTGGGGTAAAAACGACCGAAAGATTTGCACGGTCCTAAGCAAGCAAGTGAACTTAATATAAAGGATTTAAAAAGACGCACTTATATTTCTAATGT